GTAGGCATTTGCATCGTGGTCTTTATAAATGTCATATCTCAAAGTCAGATCACTTTGACATTGACTTTGTCGTTTGATACCTATGATAGTGAAACTTTGTCCAATTCGTGTCTGAGTCATATCTTTTGTTCCTAAAAGTTTTGGTTTATCTAGCATGATATACATGTATAAGCAATTATAGGTCATCATACGGTGTTTAAAAAATCGATTCCATATGGTTGGTTATAAAAGGCCCGGAAATGTGAAACAATTCAAACAAGAAAACTAACGGCTTATTTGTATTATTATCTAATCAATAAAAATACAATTGACAAAAAATGAATACGAAGGACATGAGCCAATAAAATGTACTTAATCACAGGCCCCTGACATGGGATGGGCACATAAAGAATGTAACGGAGCTTTATGAGTACTGAATTATAAAATCATTACAAAATCTACAGTAAGGTAGCATGGAGAATTTCAACATTTTACATGATTAACATAGAAAACGATTTTTTATGATTGCTGATGACACAACGATTTAGTAACAAACATCAAAGTTGTGATTAAATTCATAAAGTGAAATAATACACATCTACCGTTGCAAACTTTCCACAGGTACTATCCAGCACTTTGATTGTTAAAGTCTTCCAAAACAGTTTCAATTGACACATGGCTTTTAACCAATGTTATTAAAATTTTCATGTTTATTCAAAAGTAATCAAAATTATTGAGGGTCAGCAAACTTTTCAACTAGCCAATACATGTAATTCGATAATTTAAATATAGCATTTATTTAAAGTTTTTTCTTGTAATTCTTGAAATTTGTCATGTCAAGTTACTCGTATTCTCGGCATTTCTTACCCTTCAGTAAGCGGTTTTTGTTTGTTTGTTTATTTTATTACGCCTTCATTACCTTGTTACAATGATTATGGGTGGTTATTTAAATAACAGTAAGAAGATGTGGCATGATTGCCAATGAGACAATTCTTCACCAGAGACCAAATTCTTGTGTGTGTTTGATAATTTTAGATTTTCAGGTTTATTGTATTACCCCTATAATTTCTTTTCGTCAAATCTGGGATTTTAAACTAACATATATATAATATATTATGTCCCAGGACAAATTTACCTCTTTCAACATACTACTTTTTCTGCAGCATCTTCAATTAATCTATTATATTTATTAACTAAGCAGTGGCGGATCCACGGAGGAGGGTTCCTGGGGTTGGAACCCCCCTTTTTGACGATCAATGCTTTTGAATTGGGACATATGGTTGGACCCCCCTTTTTATCCTGGGTTGGAACCCCCTTTTTAAAATGGCTGTATCCGCCCCTGACTAAGTAAATAGTAATCCATTACGTGTTTATCAACATCTACACCATTAAATAATTCAATTTTGACAATTCTAATTCTTCATCAAGAAACTCGAGAAACCAAGGACGTAACGTCACAGTACCCAAATTGCATCGAGTACCCAAATTGCAACTTTTCAACAAAAAATGCTGCGGAAATCTTACAAGTTTTCTTTGAGACTAAACAATTTATATTTTTATGATCTGACATTATATACACGTCTTTTGACACAGGTAAATATATTTAAATATACACAAAACGTCAACAGTATATATCAACAGATGAAGCATTCACTGGAAAAAGTAAAATCTACGGAAACGTCGCAATTCGACGTTCACAAAAAGTCGTCTTCAAAAAATGAGCAACAAAAATATGTTACAAGCATCCATTTCTTGAAATATGAATAGTAAGCATGGACTAATGTCAAATTGTTCTAAATATTTAAAGAAATAAAACAAAACATCTGTTATCCTAATTTTAAGGATGTGAATTTAAGCATGGATGCAATTTGGGTACTCCTCATTACAGAATCATGGATCGTTTGGAGGTCGGTTCAAACCTATTTTTCTATGATTCAATATGGATTCAAGATTAAATTGGCGTAACTATATAGTAAATAAGAATACGTGTACAAAATTAACACAGAATGGAAACTTTTGTCTGGATCATAAAAAAACGTAGGTGAAAATACTCCCAAAATAGGTGCAATTCAGAGTTGGATTTAGGGAGGGGGCAGGGTGCCCCCCCCCCCTTTTGTGGGAAAAATTTGGTTGATTATATTGGGAATCACTGAAGCATGACTGGAGCGGGCCCCTCTTATGCAGTCAGTGGGCCCCCCTTATGAAATCTTATGGTTCCGCCACTGCAATTTGGGTACCCTCACGTTATAATTAGGCAGTTTCTGCGCGACCACGCATGCGGGGACGAGTAGTCAAATTGGCATTCGTAGGCTACGCGTACCCGCATCCGGTTTTATAATTAAATGTCATCGGGTCGGGAATAAAACGTGAAATATACACGGAAATTATCGGTAATTTAATTGCGGATTTTTGTGAATTCAGTGAAGAGAATGGCAAATAATATTTTTTAATTTGTATTTATTAGTTAAACATTCACAATAAACATTGCAAATTAGATAAAATTGAGAGTGGACACTAAAGGAATAAAATTGTACAGTCCCTGTAAAGAAAACATGATAAAATTAGAAATTAAATGAATGCACATTTTAAAAGAATAAAATTATACTGAATTTGAAAAAAGCTATTTAAAAACTCGAGTGTGAAAATAATTTTCTAGTAAAATGCAAAAAAAGAAATCTAAATTTTAAAATATCTAAAACGACTACAAATAAAGCTTGACGGTGTATATATAAATTAAAGAAACAAGTAATTTGATCAAATTCCATATGTATAGAAATATATGCATTTCATATTATACATCCATTTGGAACTCAGGATTCATCTTTTACTACTTCTACTGTTGCACCTGAAATATAATAAATTATTTCAGGTGTCATATATTTCATATAGTTCATGCGTAACCCATCTCTAGCTAAGGGTTTCAATTGAAGTTCACATGAATATGGATTTAATTCAAGATTCAAGATTTATTAGGAAAACACTCGGACACATATACAATGTGTTACAAGAGGTCATTATAGTGGATAACATATATACATTAAATATGACAAAAATGAACATGTGATTAAATACAAATAAATATGACAGCACAACTTCACACTTTGGACTTCAATTTACTATATTAATACAAATAAAATTTAAAGAAGAGAAGACAGTTTTCTGATGAACACTGACAATTTCTGATATAATTCAGTATTGTAAAGTGACAAAAGACCTTCCGTTTTTACAATGTTTGGATTATTTCTATAACATTGTGGTAAATATCTGTTTCTCAATTGTACTATATAGATATAAGAAGATGTGGTATGAGTGCCAATGAGACAACTCTCCATCCAAGTCAAAATTTATAAAAGTAAACCATTATAGGTCACAGTACAATAAAATTGGTTCAATCATAGAATCAAACATTTCTAATTGTATATCTAAAGGTATTGACTCATTACGAAATAGTTTGTAAATGCAATATAACGCCTTTTGTGCTTGCTCTACAAGTTTTTTCCTTGTGTTAATAAACGTTCCATTATTTTTGAAAATTAACACCTAGGTATGAATATGTATCAACAATTTCAAGGTTACAATCTTGCAAAGTAAAATTAAAATTCTGTTTTGATTTCCTTTTACAAAAAATCATAACTTTATTTTTATTAAAATTAACCTGCAATTTCCATATATCACAATATGATTGGAAAATGTCTAGAGCTCTTTGCATACCTACCATACTTTCAGACAGAATGACAGTGCCATCTGCATATAAAATAACAAATAATTTAAAAAAAATGTGCAACTCACTTTCGAGCTTCTCTTTATTAATATTAAGAGGTTCTCCGTCTAACTGGCTGAAATAACTTTCCAGACCATTTAGAAATATAGAAAAAAGAAAAGGTGATAAATTTTCCCCTTGTCTTACACCAGTAAGAAAAGGGAAAAATTCAGACTGGTCACCATTATACTGAACGCAAGATTTAATGTCATGGTACATGTTAAAGATAACCTTAAAACATTTACCTTTAATCTCACAATTTTGTAATTCTGTCCATAGCCCCGATCGCCAGACGGTGTCGAACGCCTTCCTAAAGTCGACGAAAGTGCAATAAAGCTTCTTGCCAACCGAGAAATATAACTCAATTAGAGTATGCAATACAAAAATGTTGTCAACTGTTGAATATCCTTTCCTAAAACCAGCTTGGTTTTCGGAAATGAGACTCAATTCGTTAGCAAAAATCTAGAATTTATAACAGACGTAAATAATTTCCAAAGGCAACTGATAAGAGTGATTGCCCTGAAATTATCAGGGTCAGACGGGTTATCCTTGTTTTTAAAAACAGGTATTATAATTCCACTGGTCCAGCTTTCTGGAATAATACCAGTATCTAACACTAAATTAAAAAGCTGACAATATATAGAAATTAACAATGGAGTTGAATATTTCAAATATTCATTTAAAATTTTATCTGTACTGGAGCTTTGTTATTTTTAAGCTCCCTTTTTGCTTCAGATATTTCTAACTCGGTTATTTTTCCATTTAATAACTCATCAGGATTTTCACAAATGCTATCAATATTCAAACTAATATCTCCCTCATTATCTTCACTTGCATTTAAATTTTTAAAATATTCAAAAAAGTGTCAATCTCCACCTGTGGGTTATCTTTTCTTTTATTTGAAAATTTGTGAAGTGTATTCCAAAATGATTTTGTGTTTGTTTTTGATAACGCTCGAAGCTTGTTTCATGGTATTTTTTTTATAATTGTCGGTATTCTTTAGCCTTCATATTCATCAGTGTTTTGTTATCAGCAGTCTTTAATTTTTTTTGTATTTCCTTCTTGCTCTCTGTGGAACTCATCACGCATAATCTTACAGTCTTTTTTAAACCATGATTTGTTTTGAGTTGATCTTTGAGGTTGTTTAACAGCTGGTCCAAACGCAGTTGAAGCCGTATCTAAAAGTACATTTCCGAGTTCACTTATAAGGTCATTAACCTGTAGTGGTGTAACGGATTCAATGTGAAAATTTTCGAGGGTGTGTTTGATTAAATTCAATGCATCTGTGTCATCACTGAGTACCTGTGTAAACTCGTGTGCTTTGTTTGTATTCCATCGAACGTAAGTGTTGTTTTTCTTATTTTGTGGATCAGTGTAATATTTGTTTGTAATGCATAAAGAAAAATGAATCTGATTATGAACATTAGATAGTGTAGGATTAAAGGCAAATATTTCAAATTCAAAAGCTAAGTCAAACATAAAATAAAACACAAGAATAAGATAATCTACGGAAGCCTTTTAGGGCCATGTTAATTCACTTTTTACAATTTGATATAACAAATTATGAATTTGATATAACAAATTATCAATTTAATATAACAAATTTTCAATTTTGATATAACAAATTATTGATTTCATATAACAGATTATCAATTTGATATAACAAATTATTAATTTGATATAACAAACTATTAACTTGATATAACAAATTATTTATTTGATATAACAAATTATTAATTTGATATAACAAATTGTGAATTTCTCTACACATAGTATGATTTTAATAATGATTAATAAAAAGTTGCATAACCCGAACTGGCGCATTTCATGTATTAACTGATTGTTTATCTGACGTCCAGTGACAAATATCTAATGCATTTTCAAAACTTAATTTACAGGTTTAATGTTTCTATAACCAACCCTCCTCTCCTTTCCCCTTTATTTGAGACAGTTTTCGGGACTAGTTTCTCAATTTCGCACATGGGACCTGGTGCCTTAGAACGAATAAATATAAAAGGGAAAAGGGGGAACTTTTTTATCAATTTATATTGCATATTTTCAAGTCAAAGCGAAACGAAGAGTTCTATTGAGATGTTGGTATATATAAAAAAAGAAGATGTTGTATGATTGCCAATGAGACAACTCTCCACAAGAGACCAAATGACACAGAAATTAACAACTATAGGTCACCGTACGGCCTTCAACAATGAGCAAAGCCCATACCGCACAGTCAGCTATAAAAGGCCCCGAAATGACAATGTAAAACAATTCAAACGAGAAAACTAACGGCCTAATTTATGTACAAAAAATGAACGAAAAACAAATATGTAACACATAAACAAACGACAACCACTGAATTACAGGCTCCTGACTGGGGACAGGCACATACATACAAAATGTGGCGGGGTTAAACATGTTAGCGGGAGCCCAACCCTCCCCATAACCTGGGAAAGTGGTGTAACAGTACAATATAAGAACGAACTATAAAAATCAGTTGAAAGAGGCTTAACTCATCAGATGGATAAAATACAAATACTACAAACACAAGTGGACGTGGCCGGGTAGTTGTACATCCAAACAACAAAAAGACACTAAGTACAGATCTGAGAGTAGTTACTGGCAGCTAGTTCAAAGCCACTAACAACTAATAAAAAAAATCATGCATCTACGACTAAATTATCAATCCGTACACATCCAACATCCAATGGATTTAGTGTAAAGACGTCATAAACAGTCAGAGAAAAACATGACCTTGTGCAATGCCAAGATACATGTATCGACAGATTGTAGATCCATGAATGTGTATATGTATATAACAATAATATTTAGTTTGCTTTTAATTTACTGATAACAAAATCAATATTAAAACCAATAAAAACAATATTTAATGATCTAATTACAGTGTTGAATTGGTAACCTTTAAGAATACGTTTATTTAAAGGATCGATAAGTTTACCAGGATCGTTTCTAAATTTCCGGGCACGGTTAACAATATTGCCGTAAAAATGAGGATGTGCAATCCCGTTTGAAATAAGTTTTCTACAGGTACAACCAAACTTCAAAACCAAATCTTTATATCTGTGGAAGAATTTAGTAAAGGTTTTAAGTAATTTGTGGTAACGAAATCCCTGGCTTAATAATTTACCAGTAATACATAGATTACGTTGGTGTTTTTAGGAACATAGGAACATGCAAGGATAAAAAAATGCTTTTCCTTCTTAAAAAAACCTGGCATGTTGCTTTGATAATTTCAATAGGAACATGACTGTATTTATTAAACATCCTTCAATTCATCACTGCATTTGTCTTAACAACATATATTTTTGATTTGGATTTTTTTATTTAAAAATAAAGAAACATGCGTGAGATTTTGAATGATTTAGGACTTTCAAATTTCTGTTAAAAAAGACCAAACGAGTATAATCTGAGCACATTAATAACGTTGTATAAATAGAATAAGGATTTCAGATCATGAGCAATGCAAAAAACATTTAGGTCTATATCTTTATACAGTTTAAGCGTTTCACTTATATATCCTTTATGTCAAATAAAGAAGGGGGATAACCCCAATCCATGCATAAGTAATTTGACATATCAAATTTTCTTTCTTGTTATATCAAATTCATAAATTGTTATATCAAATAATTATAATCTGTTATATCAAATTGATAATCTGTTATATCAAATAGATAATTTGTTATATCAAATTAATAATTTGTTAAATCAAATTGATAATTTGTTATATCAAATTGTAAAAAGTAAATTAGCATGGCCCTTAAAGGCTTCCGTAGTACGGTAATCAACAAGACTTGCGTCTTTACAAGTGTTTTTCCAATAAATTTATCCTGATAATCTACCATTTGCAAAACATAATGAACATCGTTTGCATAACTCTATTAATCTTCTGCCATAATTATTTACACGAATTTTGTCCTCATTATACCTTTCAAGAGGAATACCGTTTTTAAAAAGTTATTTACAAACAATGTATTTTCATTGATAATTTCAGATGCATTAACAATATCTAACATATCAAACAGATTCCCGTCTATTTCAACAATATCACTCATATTTCCTGTTCTTGAGTTAAAATCACCAACAAGAGCAGTATTATTTTTATCACGAGAAAAAAGTAAAAGTTCTTCTTCTAAATACATCCAAATAAAAATGTATCACTCTGCAAAGTTTTAGTACAATTCAATGAAAATTCCACCCACTGAACAAATTCTGAGTCTGACTTCAAAAATTTCAGGCAGTCAGAAAGCGATTTTTTAAATACTACGACTATACCCCCTGATTTTTTCTCATTTTTTTTCTATTTTTTGCAAAATAGCTGTAACCATCTGGTAATTTTTACTCGTCAAACTTATCAATTTTAGTTTCAACAAATATCAGAATATCATAATTTTTAATCAATACATCAAAATCTGGATTTAAAAGTTTTGATTTGATACCACATACATTTAGAAAAGTTATTTTCAAAGTATTATGATTGTCATTTAAATGACCGTAATCAATGTCTGATGAGTTGTCCTAATCTCCACCATTATTAGGTAACGGTTGATCTGGAATTGTAGGCGGGGGTTCACGATGGGCTTCAGTTGTATACTTCACCATCTAGAAGAAGTTTATCGTCCGCTAGCTTTGCGTGTCGTCTTTGCCTTTTGAATTCCTTCATCTTCGGGATGAGTTTTTTACGCCTGTCATTTATTTCACGCTGGTATTGCTGGTATACAGAACATTGTGGTTTGTTCTTTAGTTTGCTCACAGCTGCTCTGTTACCACGCTCATGATCACTGAATCTAGTAAAACGGGCTATAAAACTTCGTTCCTTGCCATCAGACAGCTCACCAACTGCAAGTCTGTGTACATTTTTGAATTGTATATCTCCAACATTAGGAATTTCCATTTCTTCCGAAAGAAAAGACCTCAATACTTCTTCTGTATATTTTCCTCATAACCATCTCGATTTCGTATACCACCAAAAATTAAGTTATACTTCATGAAATGAGATTGTAATTCAAGAAATTTTTCTTTCAACTCAAAATTTTCACCTTCCAATTGTCTGTTTGATCTTTCAAGATTCCTCACTCTAACTTCAATGTCATGATGATGATTTTCTTGCTTACTTATTATTTGTGAGTGTTTCTGCTGAACATTTCTAATATCATCTATTTCATTGCTCATTTTGGATATGTGGTTTAATAAAGTCGAATTATTCAATTGCAAGTGAATAATTCATTAGCGATATTTCTTTGTTTATTTTGACAAAACTGAACCAAACTAGCAGCTATTATTCCACTATTTTACTTTCATTATTGATTGAACAAAAAAAATATATTTTATTTCTTTCTATATCTCGTAGCTAATCAGTAATGCCCCTTTAAAGGACAAATATTTAAACACAAACCAAGGACGTTTCTCATCTCTGCGGGTAATCAACTTATCCACTAATTGCAAGAATCTAATTTACGCGTTTGTTTTACGTTTTATTCCTGATCCGATGACATGCAATTATAAATCCGGAAGCAGGTACACGTAGCCTACGAATGCCAATTTGGCTACTCGTCCCCGCATGCGGGGTCGCGCAGACACTGCCTTATTATTACATGTACATTAGAAATACGCATGTTAGTCAGTATACGTCCTTGAAGAAACCTAGCTTTATTTGCAGGAATCCGCCTAGTTTTGAAAGCTGGGTCATCATTACTCATATTTCTGATTGAATCATTTAGAATGATTATGGCTTTTTATATTTATGCAGAAATAAAATAGTTCATTTGCCTTTAGATATTTAAAATTTCCCGCCTTCATTTCTGAAGATCATTCACCTGTAAAATTATCGTTCGTGATGGCTGATCTGTTGACGTCCTAAATATTTTTGTAAAAATTGATTCATTTTGTTGATTGTAAGTATAAATACGAACGTTCTGCAAACACTTATATAATTTGCACGCGATTATTCTTGTCAATACAATTACGACAACGATTCAAACAGTAATCCTTGATTACATGTAATTATTGTTTAAACACCGTTTTACATTTTACTCCCAGCACATGTACTCGGCACAGGTATTGAACAGATCGACACACTCATATAGGCACACACATATATCAACATATATTAATTTCAGCTATTGGACAGAGTTCAATATGGCATCCCACGGATTAAACTGCCAGGGTGGGTGTTATATATATATATAGTGCCTAATGTGTGTTTTTGTATAAATGATCACAACTGTATTGATCATGTATGGAACGCTGTTGGTGACTTCGTATTTTACTATTTAGCCACAGGTACTTGTCTCTGAAAAAGCCTATATTCTTTAATGTATTAAAGATATGTTATTTTTTCTTTAGGGAGCAACCATTTAACTTCAAGGGAGTGGGGTGGGGGAGTGTTCTGATTTTTTGTTCGAGTCAGATTTTTTTTTATAGTTTTTCTACGCTATCAATCAAATTATTTTTTTTCAAAATTTAACACTATAAGGTATGGGGAAAATCTCGATTCAGAATATTTTTTTTTTGACATCTACTTGACCACAATATTTTTTTCATCAAATTGAGGATCAGAATAATTTTTTTAGGAAAAAACCATAACCCCCACCCCCCCTTTTTGAAGTTAAATGGTCGTTCCTTAAGTAACAAATGCCTGCGTATCTAGTGGGGATATAACAAAAATAAAGATTGTTTAAAAGAAAGGTGAATTAATCTAAACATTGATTAAGCTAATGTGTACTTAATATGATTATATAATTCTTCGAGATTTTCAGTATAAATTTGATTTAAAAAAAACCAACTGGACACATTTAATCGTGTAGCATGAGGTCAAATATGCACTACTAAGGGTGGTTTTCTCCCTGAGGGTATCACCAGCTAATTAGTCCGCACTTCTGTGTTGATGTGAATTATCATTGATATGATCATGATTATAAACAAATGTTTACAAACCTTTAAATTTTTCAAATAGTAAGGATTTTCACCCCAATGAATAGATTACATTAGATGTATTTGTCAAAACCTTTTGGAATTTGGGTCCTCAATGCTTTTCAATTTCGTTCTTTATTTGGCCTTCTTAACTTTTTTTTATTTAAGTGTCACTGATGAGTCTTTTTATTGACGAAACGCGCGTCTGGCGTACACAATGTTAATCCTGGTACATATGATGCGTTCATGTGCAATATATATGAATTACATGACAGAATATTAAGAACAAAACAAAACAAAACAAAAATACAAGTAAAGAAATGCATTACAAATAAACATATTAAAGTCAATATATGTAAGTTCCTAGAACAATTTATACAAAGCCTCGAATTAACGTTCAAAATTTTCTTTTTCTCACATCTTTTAATACTTGAATGGCCTGATTTTTTTTGGTCAATATTTAATACTGGTTTTGGCCCTTTTGCCATCACTTGGCCTCTGTCGTCGCCCGTTGGCTTTAAAAGATCATCTCCTCTGAAACTACTGTACCAATTAAACATACTTGACCACAATCATCATTGGAGTATCTAGTTTTAAAAAGAGTGCCCAATGATGCCACCTGACAATCAACATGTCTGACATGGCTAAACATAGAACATAGGTGTGAAATGCAACTTTTGTCTTTTATCTTGAAAACCATTATAGATAGCGAAAATTTGACGGGGACAAAAGTGTAAAAAATAATGAAATCAGCATTTTGTCTTTTAACAACAAAACTGTCAGACGACTCCCTAAGATAAAATAATGATAGACAAACTTTTGAAGGAAAAAAAATATCAACAAGACAAGATCTATAAATAAGTGTACATGGCTGAAATCTTCAGTCAATTTTTTATTGAAGTAATTAATTGCCCTTTACTGACGATTTTTTTCCCTATATCCAGTTTACTCTCATTTTCCAGTGGCAGTCTGAATTTCCCAGACCTTTGTCCCGGACGGCCTCTGTTACAGGAACTACCTGTTTTTGTTAATTTGTTCTCGTCCTGAACATGCATGAAATATTTGCCACTGTACGTTAAGTAACCAACAATCAAACACTCAATCATTTTCCGGCGACGATGGCGTCAACAATTGTTAAATGATCTGCTTAAGTTAATTTGATAAGAACTACTTGTGATAGATCAATGATACTTGGTATGAAGTTGCTTTACTATTAGCACATATCAATTGGACCACTACTTCGAATCTCTGCACCATTAGGTCATGATCCAGTGACTTTCAATTAGTTTGATAGGAAAAAATTACGATAGACAACGATATTTTCTATAAAGTTGCATCTCAGTTTGTTGACCATTTCGACACTGTCCACTAGTTCATGGTCCAGATCTATAAATAAGTCAATTGCGAAACTCGTCAGATCACATTCTATAGGAGTTCTAGTCCTTCGATGAAGATTTTTACCAATTTATTTTCATTTTTGTCTATAATTTCGAAAACTATTACAAATAGATAGAAATTTCAAAAACAAAAATGATCAGTTGACTCCTTATACAACATACAGATGTAGGAGTTATCATCATAAATGACGATTTTTCACCAATTTTTTTTCCGTTTTTGCCTATTATCTTGAAAACTATAAAAATCTGCAAATGTGTTGGTCATCTAACATGGAGATGAATTTGTCAGTTGTATTCTTATAGGAGTTATTGCCCTTAAATGACGATTTTTTTTTACACTTTTTTTGTGTTATGGGCAAACATTATAAAGATAGAAAAATTAATGTAAACAGAAAAAAATGGTCAGCAATACTGGTTAATAAATTTTAGTCATGAATGATGTTCTAGTCTCATGTAATGTAGAGTGTCCCTTGATGAAGATATGCATCCAGCCATTTTTAAAAGGGGGTTCCAACCCAGGATAAAGAGGATAAAAGGGGGGAAGGGTTCCAACCATATGTCCCCATCAGTGGCGTAGCTTGGCCATTTTTAAGTGTACGCCCGAACCTTGGCGAGGGGCGTGAGTGCCACCAGCAGGTTTAGGTCAGAGGACTTCCTGGTAGGAGGTTCGTTGGAGGTGAAGCACCAGGAAGCTCACTCGTTATTGAGAAAGAAATATTATTTTAAATAAATTTGTCATAAAAAACTCATCAATAGTAACATACTTTAGAGTCTAATTTGTTAATTTATCAGTTATTGTGTTCATTTGGAATCTAATGGTCATAGGTTTCAGAGAAAAATGTCCAAACCAGTCACTTTATAATATGTTTAAAGGGAGATGTGGGATTAAACACAAGCAATCGACAAAAATCCCAAAAAGCAAAGAGTTTCCATTTCAATGTTGTCATATATTAATTATTTTAACTTCATCTTATTTTCTCCAATTTTTATGCACAAATTTTGTTTATGGACACAGGAACTGATTAATGTTTATAGATGGTCAGGTGTAACATAAAAATGTGTAAGGCATGTGTCTCGCCTGGGATTGCTGCTGTCAGTGTAAAAGCGGAATTTAAGAAAAAAACAAACTTTTTATTCCGATGCTTTTTATGAAATTGAACAATTAGCTGATATCCAAGTGTCATAACAATCTATGAAGGTATAAAGATTTAACATGTCACAAAAATTTAATCCAGTCTGTTAATTGCAAAAAAAATAAATATAAAATAATCCGTCTGTCAGTTAAATACAGAAAAATAAAAAAAAAATGATCTTTCAAATTTTGCTTCAGACATTATCTCTTAATCATAAAAAAGCTTCTGCCAAATTGTCTTAAAATTCGATGAAGGTTTGACAAAGTAATTGATGTTTAACAAACTTTAACCTAAGACTATCTTACTGTATCTACTTATTAACTGCAAAAATAAGTCCTTTTATCAGTCAAATACGGAAAAAATATATTTTTATTATGCTCTGGATACTATCTTTTGGTCATTAGAAAGCTTCTGTCCAAATTTCATTACATTCCATGAAGGTTTGACAAAGTTATTAAATGCTTGAACAAACTTCAACCATGCACACACCAAACCTAAGTGTTGACGACGCCGACGGAATCTAAGATCGGTATGTGTCGCTTTTGCGACATAAAGGTCACATGCTCGATATTCACACTTTGACAGAAAATGAACAAATGTATAAATAATATGATACCATTTGATTAAAAGTAAATTTCGTCACTTCTTTCTTCAATTACAAGTCATAGAGGAAAGAATTAAAAGGCATTTAACCAGATCTTTTATTTTATTTAGATTAAATATTTTTTCTCTAAAATTTATGTGTACGCCCGGGCGTTTTGACGTTAACGTAGCTACGCGCCTGCCCATCGATCTTAAGCATTGATATTCAAGAAAAGTGGGTTCCAGCCGCCGGATCCCCCTCCTAACTGGACCGCCACTGATTTAAACAGCGCATGTGCATGTAGCAAGTTGTTTGTTTACCTTCATGTTTTTAAAGAATTTATTGCCTAGTACACTATCATAAGGGAACGACCATTTAACCTTCAGAGGGGATTTTATTTTCCCGTTCAACAGGAGCATGAAATTTTTATTTTGTCGCTCAAAGAACGTCAATTTTTTAAGGAACTTAAAAATTAAATTTAATGACAAAATTTATTAATCAGAAAATCTATTTTATCTTCCTCCCTGATCAAAATATTTATTTCTTAATAATTGGGAATCAAATATTTTTTATTAAAAATATATAACCCCGTCCCCCATCAAAGTTTAATGGTCGTTCCATAAGCAATTTTGTTTTCAAATGATTTCAACTGTGAATTCGGTCTACATCAGTGCTGTTAAGTCTCACGCAATAACTCGAGCATGTTCCTTCTTTTTTGGCGGCATTTTCCTTTGATCTTTTGTATTTCTCTTTGATCTTTACATTTTTTTCCAAATCTCATTATTTGCTTCATGAAAACTTAACAACCCTGATACATATATGTACATGGGTTGCAAAGACGTATTAAATGGTATGTTTGGATATTAAATTTTTCTTTATTTACTTTTCTTTATTTACAGAGGAGAAACGTAGTATTTCATGGTAATGGAGATTTCTCAAAACAGTGAACATGGTGAAGTAAACCAGTTCTCTTGTGGTTTGTGTGGTGTAAATTTTAGTCTAAGCTATCTTTTACGTAAACATATTAAAACTCATACTGTTGGAAAATATAAATGCGACCTATGTGAAAAAGTTTTTTACACGATCAAAGCTTTAAAGGTACACACAAGAATACACACTGGTGAGAGACCTTATAAATGTGACGTGTGTGGTCAAGGTTTAAATACAAAGCAATCTTTAAATTCTCACAAGAGAATTCATACGGGCGAAAAGCCGTTTAGATGTATAGTATGCGAAAGACGGTTTAACCAAAGTTCACATTTGTTAAGACATATAAAAATACACACTAATGATAGACCGTATGTGTGTAAAGAGTGTGGAAAACGATATATTGAGAGAGCAGACTTAAAGCGACACATAATAAAACACACTATTATAAAGGAAAACAGTAATGTGTGTGAAAAACCGTATAAGTGTGATGATTGTGGTAAATGCTTTAGGTATGGTAAAATAATGATAAAGCATATGAAAACACATAACTTACTCAAAATAAACACTTCTGATAAAACTCAAGAAATACGTAAGAGTAAACCTACTATTGACATTGCAATTATACTTCACAAATGTAATTTTTGTGATGAAGCATTTAGCCAAAAAGGAAATATGTATGCACACCAGAAAACACACAAGAACGATAAAGAATTTAAATGTGATGTGTGTGGTAATGGCTTTCCACAAAATATTGAGTTACAAGCGCACATAGAAATACACACTAGTGAAAAACTTTATAAATGTTATACGTGTGGCAATGAGTTTATTTCTAATTCAAATTTAAAGGTTCACGTGAGAACACATACTGGCGAAAAACCGTTCGAATGCGAAGTCTGTGGTAAAAGGTTTAGACATAAACCACATGTGTCACGACATATGAAAATACATACTGGTGAAAGACCATACGTGTGTAATATGTGTGGGAAAGGATTTATTGAGAAATTTGACTTAACACGACATGTTATGAAAACACATACAGAAAAACTCCAAAGTGTCTCGAGTAACATGCGTTCCGAAGAGAATAAGGCTGTTCTAATATCTAAGGAGAAAAACTCATCTAAATGTGATGAAGCTGGTAATTCACACGTGAACGAACATGAGAAAACACAAACGCTTATTACAAATGGCGAATCTTTTAAATGTAACAATGAAATAGATAAGTCAGATGATTCATATCAAACTTCACAGAAACATACGGGAACAGCTAATGGCTACACCCACACAACTGATGTTAAAGGTGAAGGTCAAAATGAAAAGGAAAAAATACAGACACACTTGAAAATATTTGCTAGTTTAAAACCTTTCAAGTGTAAGGATTGTGGGAAAGAGTTTTGGGAGGAGAGCAGTTTGCAGACACATATGATCAAGCATTCAGGAGAGAAACCTTTTAAGTGCAAGGAGTGTGGCAAAGGTTTTATGGGAGAAAAAGCATTACAGTCACACTATTTAGTACATTCTGAAGATAGACCGTATCAGTGCGATGCATGTGGAAGAGGATTCAAAACAAAAAGTTCTTTAACGGCACACTTGATAACGCATTCTAGTGACAGACCGTTTAAGTGTGTTATATGTAACAAAACATTTAAGAAGTGGACACACTTACAAAATCATGCAAGAATACATTCGACCAAAGACCTGTTTGAATGCGATGTATGCAACAAACACTTTGCTGGAATAAAAGGCTTAAAAAGGCACAGACGAATACATACAGGAGAGAAACACACATGCTATATCTGTGGGAAGGAGTTTACTTTTATTGATAGTATGAAGGCACATATGAGAACACATACTGGTGAAAAACCGTACATGTGTTCGGAATGTGGGAAGCGATTCGGGCAATCACAACATTTGAATAGACACATGAAAATCCATACGGGTGAAAAACCTCATATGTGTGATGAGTGTGGTAAACGGTTTATTGATGGAAGAGACATGAGGAGACATATGGAATCACACACTAGAAAAAAAGTTAAAAAGACTAAGAGTTTGTTAAATGGCAGACGACATTGAAAAGAGACGGGAAATAAGACATCTTCTGAATTTAATTCACAATAGGATCGTATTTAAGCAGTTCGATTTTTACTAAAGTTAACATGATCACATATTCGTGTGTGTATATTTTGATTCTAGAACTTTGTATTTTGATTCTAGAACTTTGTATTTTGGTTCTAGAACTTTGTATTTTGGTTCTAGAATTTTGTATTTTGATTCTAGAACTTTGTATTTTGGTTCCAGAACTTTGTATTTTGGATCTTGAACTTTGTATTTTGATTCTAGAACTTTGTATTTTGGTTATTGTCACTAGGTTGCTACGTCTTCTTCCTTTCATTTTGACTTTTAAACGCAACGTCATGTCGAATTCAAATATGTGCCTAATCATGCTACTTAAAAAACTCGGAAGATCGTACAAAAGTAGAAGTTCGAAAAGTTTTGGATTACATATAGTATATATAATTTATAAAAAAACAGCAATACTGATGAGAAGTGAATTTTTGTCTCGCCTGCTACTTCTGTCCCAGAAAGTGAGACATAGAGATAGTGATTCGGCGGCGTTAACTAATTACTTAAAAGCGTAATATTTCAGATGGTAGAATACACGGATGGTTAATAATTTCTATATAGATGCCTAATATTATGAAGTTTCCGTCTGTCATTTTCATGATTCAGTGACTACTTGAAAAAAAAAAGTTCAAATTTTTTGAAATGCTAATTTCTGTCTTCATATGAGTAATAGGATAACTATATTTGGTTTAAACAATATTTTATTCGATAAGTCAAATCATGCTATATAATATAATACAGTATAAACAATGGGATTCAGAAACAAACAACATTGCTTATTTTAATCTGTCTCCAAAAAGAATGTTGACATACAATATAATGAATACTTGGAGCATGCTCTGTCAATTGGAATATATTAAGAATAGTAAATACAAAATAAGATTGATTATATAGTTTGAGAAAAAAGGGAGAAAAAAAAAAACAAAAAACAAAAAACAAGTGATTGAAATGAGCTAAATGAAATGCAAGGAAAACATATAAATGATGCTTTCATATAATGGTGTGAATCTTTTACTTTTCAATATGTATTTTTGTACCAATACAAAAATAGTACAATTTTCTTCATCAGTTAAACAATCTGACCCAAAAAGCAAAATATTTACATCAATACGCTGCGGAAAATCAGCAAGAGAATTCAGTAGCACTTGGCGTATGTTAGTATAGTAAGGACACGTTAATAAAAAATGAGAGCTTGTTTCTATAGCACCACAATATATAACTATATTTGATATGTACCTTACAAGGTTCTCATGCCTGTCCGATAGTGTTCTTTTCACCTCGACCTCATTTTATGGATCAGTGAACAAGGTTCAGTTTTCGTGGTCAAGTCCATATCTCGGAGGTCTTCTATATTTGGTGTATTTAATGATTGTACGGTGTAAATGTCCAACCTTGACCTCATTTTCATGTTTCATTGGACAATTTTAGTTTTGCGCTTTTGTCTATTTCTCAGAGATTATAGGCAATAGGTCAACTATATTTTATGGAACGATTGTAGGGTTTACATGTCTGTCTGTCAGGGTTTATCTGACTTTGATCTCATTTTCATGTTTCATTGGTCAAAGTTTTCGTAATTGTGTCAGTTTATCAGATACGTTAAGCAATATGTCAACTATATTTGGTGTATGGAATGATTGTGTACATGTCATTCTGGCAGGGTTTATATAACCTTGACCTCATTTATAAGTTCATTGGTAAACGTTAAGATTTTGTGGTTTAGTCTATTTCTCATGTACTATCAGCAATAAGACCACTACATTGGTATATAGAATGATTGTAAGTTGTACATGGGCAGTGGCAGATCAAGAGGGGGCGTACGCGCCCCTTTTACTTGCACTTTATATTATTTAATTAAGACTGTAAAATGATTAATCAGACTAGACTTCGTTAACTTTAGAAAATGAAAGGATATGGAGTAAATGTACATGGGACAAAATCGCACACAATACATAGAAAACATAGAATATTATCAATGAACAGGGCTTTTATTCCTGTTCTTCATCTTGACAGTTGATGTAGGGTCTTCAACAATGAACGAATCATTCATACCCTACGACAAGGTCAAGACGGCCCCTAGCGTCGACTTAAGCGGTACTATTGATAAAAATAAACCACAGTTTACCTTCTTGCTCCCCACCCGCCTCGGAGTGCCAACTTGTGCGATGCTTGTGTACGACGGTTCTCCAGTCGAAAGCACCAGGGATACAAGAAAAGTGCAGTAATTTTGAAAGACATCGATCGCCGCTAAAATATGCCTTGAAGTTACACATGTCGGGAGCGGTCAATGAATTACATAATTTATAAATACGGGCGAGGTTTCTCAACATATATTTGTCAAACATTGCCCAACAAAAGACAATAATTTCGAAACAACAAATGATAGACAATACATATAAAATTAAAAAACAAATGATAGACAGCACGGGGCACATCGAAATATATGTAACAAAACCTAGCAGTTTAAAATAGTATGAAAGGGCAATATACAAAACAGATGACCAGACCAGTATTTTGATGAAATTTAACCAAACATGAAATTTTGACGGTGTATTAATATGAGAAATTCTCACATGAACAAGCACACCATAACTGTAAATATTATAAGAGCACACACCTCAAGCACGGAGAAACGTTCTACTGCCTCCACACAGCACTAGAGACAAACTCTAGAATCAATAGAAAATGAAAGGATATGGAGTAAATGTACATGGGACAAAATCGCACACAGTACATAGAAAACATAGAAAATTATCAATGAACAGGGCTTTTATTCCTGTTCTTCATCTTGACAGTTGATGTAGGGTCTTCAAACAATGAACGAATCATTCATACCCTACGACAAGGTCAAGGACGGCCCCCTAGCGTCGACTTAAGCGGTACTATTGATAAAAATAAACCACAGTTTACCTTCTTGCTCCCCACCCCGCCTCGGAGTGCCAACTTGTGCGATGCTTGTGTACGACGGTTCTCCAGTCGAAAGCACCAGGGATACAAGAAAAGTGCAGTAATTTTGAAAGACATCGATCGCCGCTAAAATATGCCTTGAAGTTACACATGTCGGGAGCGGTCAATGAATTACATAATTTATAATTACGGGCGAGGTTTCTCAACATATATTTGTCATACATTGCCCAACAAAAGACCAATAATTTCGAAACAACAAATGATAGACAATACATATAAAACTAAAAACAAATGATAGACAGCACGGGGCACATCGAAATATATGTAACAAAACCTAGCAGTTTAAAATAGTATGAAAGGGCAATATACAAAACAGATGACCAGACCAGTATTTTGATGAAATTTAACAAACATGAAATTTTGACGGTGTATTAATATGAGAAATTCTCACATGAACAAGCACACCATAACTGTAAATATTATAAGAGCACACACCTCAAGCACGGAGAAACGTTCTACTGCCTCCACACAGCACTAGAGACAAACTCTAGAATCAATAGAAAATGAAAGGATATGGAGTAAATGTACATGGGACAAAATCGCACACAGTACATAGAAAACATAGAAAATTATCAATGAACAGGGCTTTTATTCCTGTTCTTCATCTTGACAGTTGATGTAGGGTCTTCAACAATGAACGAATCATTCATACCCTACGACAAGGTCAAGACGGCCCCTAGCGCTCGACTTAAGCGGTACTATTGATAAAAATAAACCACAGTTTACCTTCTTGCTCCCCACCCCGCCTCGGAGTGCCAACTTGTGCGATGCTTGTGTACGACGGTTCTCCAGTCGAAAGTACCAGGGATACAAGAAAAGTGCAGTAATTTTGCCATTTCCCGTATATTTTATGCGACAATTAGTTACTTATAAAGATTATTATTTGCTCGTATTTACGTGTAATATATGATTGATTATGTCAAAGTAATTCGCTACCGTGGAGTTGACCAGTACGTCGAAAAAACGTCACTCAGTCATTTTGAAATTCAAATTACAGTAACACATTGCTTAGGCTGAGGATGACCAGCATGACGCCTTCAAAGCGACAAAGGAAGGAACACGGACGTATTGACTCCTATTTCACAATTCCACCCAACAGAAGGTAATACTTACATTAAAATCACTCACATCAGTCACATTACACCCCAGTTCTATTGTTATACTTCATAGTTTCTATTTCTGAAACAAGTGTAAATTGAAAAAGATCTATTGTTACGAATAACAATAGGATTTTGACCACAGGGTGTGACGAGCGGGGTTTCTGGAAACCCCTGCTTCTACATCCCGCAAACAAAGTCCATTGTTATTCGTAACAATAGAAATTGATTATTTTTTAAATAGCATGAACATAAGAATTACTAATAGTGTTCACTACAAATTGTTTCATGATATTAAAAAAAACACATTTTAGGAGATTCCAATAAGCATCTATATGGAATACAAAAATAATCCTTTAAATACTCTTAATTTTGCTTGAAGTATGTCTCTATTCTAAAGCATTAATCTTTACAAAAAATGGGGATTCTAACTCCCGTACCCCCCCCCCCCCCCCCCCCCCCCCCCCCCCCCCCGGTTACCCGGTGGCCGATCCGGGGTTGGGGGTTCCGCGGGTTGGACCCGACTTTTATTTAAAAGATCAATGCATTTGAATGGTTGGACCCCCCCCCCTTTTTCTCTTGAGTTGGGAACCCCCGGCTGGATCAACCCCTGATTGCCCCCCCCCCCCCCCCCTCGAAGGTAGTTCCTCAATATTAAATATTGTATGTTTAGCGTGTCTGGTAGTCGGGTTTCTAATGCAGACACTCGAGAGAAGAGGGGGGGGGGGGGGGTTGATAAAATCGTAAGATATAAATTCAATATCAGCTATGATTACCTTTATTAAACTAATACAGGTAAGTACTTTGGGTTATAATATTGCCTTTATCTTTAGTCTCTTCTACCAAATCCAACGCTGCCACAAAATGTCGTCCGTCTTATACCCGTCCATATTGACAACTGTATACCAGGAGCATGATGTATTGTTTGTTTGGTAATAAGAATACACGTAACACTCAACCTTGACCTGCTGATCTATATTAGTACATGGATTTAACGGGAATATGCAAAACAACTTTGACATTTGTAAAATATACTCATGTGTCAAAGTTTGAACGAAGATAACCAAAGAAAGGTTACTAGTGGGTTTCATGTAATAAAAAAATATTCTTATAAATCATGGTTTGATATTGTCAATAAATATGCTATCGTTTTTTTTTTTCGTTTAATAATCAATGTTAACAAATATAGGGTTTAGAATGGGGTGTAAGTTAGTTATACACCTCGGGATACGGCGTGTCTGGATAAGAAACCCCTCCGGCCTCCGGCCGACGGGGTTTCTTATCCAGACACACCTATCCCTCGGTGTATAACTATTACAGACTAAATGTCTAAGGTACGGACCATTTCTTTTTCGGGGGGGAAAGGGGGGGGGGGGGGGGGGTGAGATATTTAAGAGAAAATAAAATCTGGCCCTGATTTTTGCCATAAAAAAATTCTGGCCGTACCTGGATTGAAAAAAAAAATCTTGCCCACTTTTTAGCTATTAGAAAAAAAATTGCAACCTGTTTGCTGGGTGTTGCCTTTAGGTCCTCCATTTCTCGACCATCATTCACAACTTCATTGTCATTTCAGACTCCTTCG